AAATTTTTAAATTCCGCTGCATTATTTGTTCCGTACGGGTATATCGAACCCAACAACTCCCTCTTCGAGTTCCCCTCCCAAACGATCCTTGACCAAAAAAGTGTCTCAGCGCACTTCTTCTTCCTCTCTTTCTCACCCTTGGTTCAAACCCGAAAAGATTGGCCAACCACTTGGTTGGGCGTTCTTCAGGTCCTCTCCCTCTGACAAATTCGACCATCCTCCGCGGGATTGCTATACTTTCTTCGAAATCCAGTTTAAACTTGGTCTTCGTTTCCCTCTGAATCCTGATCTTCTTCAGATTTTCGAGTGGTTCGGACTTCCTCTTCATCAACTTCCCCCCAACGCCATCCGTTTCATGACCACCTTTGTCATTCTTTGTCATGTCCGCCTTGGTCGATTCGACCTTGCCTTCTTCCATTACTGTTATGCCCCATCTAAACAAGGTCGAGGCCTGTATTTAAAGAGTCGTAATGGTGCCCATTTCATCAACGACGTCCCCTCCAACCTTCCTAAATGGATCGACCGCTTTATCTTTGTCCGTCCTGCTGAGCCTTTCTCTTGGCCCTCCATTCCGTGGGTCAGGGAGGTTCCTCAGGAGGTTTCTGCCCCTCCTGCTAGCCCCCTTTTCGAGCAACGTGTCCATTCTTGGAATTCTAAGACCGTTGCCTCAGAAACACTTCTCAGGGACGAAAATCTTCTCCATCATTGTGGTCTTCTCACCCACAAGACTTGCCCTCCTCCCACCGATGAGATCCTTGATCTCATTCGACTTGAGGATGATCCAGGTAGTAATCGATCAGATTAACTGAATGTTCGTGCATTTCCTCGCTTTTATTTCAAGTGGTTATTGTTGACCTTGCATCTGATCTATATTGTGATTTTTCCGCAGAGGTGCCCAGTTTCAATATCCCACCGAGGAAGACTCCTCTAAAGAAAAAGTCGGGGACTGTCGCTGGGTCGAGCAGCGACAAGGCTGATGGGTCGGCTAGCTCGGGTGGATCTCGACCAGAGCCGCCGCCGCGGTCGCCACCACGGCAGACTCCGCCGCCTCCTCCACCACCGCCCAAGGGGGCGCAACCTCAACCGAGAAACAGCCTCCGCAGCCGCAACAGCCTGAGAAGCAGCCTCCTCCGCCGCCGAAACAGCCGGGGCAAACTTCCCAGAACCCTCAACCTAAATCCATTTCCTCCTCAGCCGCCAAGTCTTCGACCTCGTCCAAGGTCGATGATCGTCAGAAGGTTGTCGATCACCAACATAAATCTGACGACCGCCGAAAGACCCCCGATCGTCAACATCAAGCCGACGATCGCTCACATAGGACTGATGACCGCCAGAAGGTTGACAATCGCCAAAAAACTGACCGTCGAGCTCCCCCTCTCAAAGACTTTGTTCCTTCCAAAATCCCGGACAAGTCTCCCGAGCTCCACTCCTCATCCAAGACCTCAGCTTCAACAAAACCTCCTCTCGACCAGCAATCTCTTCAGACCCAGTCCGCCGGCTCGACCAAGACGCTGGTCGAGTCTGGCAATAAAGTTGATACCGTGCTGGGCAAGCGGTCCCGCACCGATCAGGGTGCGGTCGTCTGGAAACGGGGCCGCGACAGTTATCTCCCCCCCGATCCTCTTGCTCCGAGGCCGACGTCCTTGCTTTCGGCATCTACGAACGAAGTG